AGCTTGAATCACATGCACCAGGTTTAACCAACAATTGACAATAGGAAGGTTCCAAATGAAAGGGGAAATTAGTAGTAGCAGAAAGTGCAACGAAGTCTATTTTCCACAAGGCGCTTTACGAGTTCCTACATTATTACGACTGGCTATCGAATGTCACATTGAACACCGTAGGAATCATTTTTGTCTTCAGATATTCTTTACTCATTTTGACGCTGATAATATCCATTGAATCTTCCCATACTCTTCCTAACTCCTTATTTAATTCTCCCCCAACCTAAAGTCAGAGACCCTGCTAATGGATATCACCGCCAATGGGTTTCTCGAACCCTTACACTCACTTCGGTGACATCCCCCATCCTCCCGTCAGTGACAGCTGAGCTGCGGTCGAACTGTCAAATTGGAAACGGCAACAATAGGAGTTAGCGATCACCTACCAACTCGGATTTTGTGCCCCAGCGAAGATGACTGACAAAAGTCCTCGTTAGACAAAGGGGATGTCAATCAACCTGGACACGGGTCTACCTATGCAAGGCTAGTAGAGGTGTGCCAGGCCCTGGTGTCAATGCTTCTTGAGTAGCAAGTCCACGTCGGCTGATGTAAGGCAAAAAATGACTTAAATGTATAATTTAGGTATATTTTCATCAACGATTATTTCATACTAACAAATTATTTCGTAAAACAGGAAGTATTTACACAAAGAAGAAGAAGTAGCCATCAAAAATTCGAGAGAGAATCAAGTAGAGTGGCAATTCATGAGGCCAAGGAAGTATAAACATTGACGAATGAAACATGCTCTGTCCGTGGTGGAGAGGTTAGACATGAAGAGATTGGCGTGACACAATTGGTTAAGGTGCTCGCAATAATTGTGGTTTCATAGCAAAAAAAATGATCGAGGGGTGATAATTGAGACCTCCTTTCAACAACATCTCAGGCTACTGATCCAGAGATGCAAAATGTAGGAATGTCGGTGGTGATGCCCTCGCCATTAGTCACTTCAGATGATATTAGCTCTGAAAGGAGATTAAAAGAAGAGAAAAAAAAAACAATTAAATAGCACCTCCTGCTGTTGTTTGGCTAATGGGAGCAAGAATTACAAATATTACCAATTCAAATCACTAAAATTAGGTGGAAAGAATTTTGCCTAACAGCGGCAGAGGCCCCGTGGTAGGGAGTTGTCTAAAGAGTCGCCTTGGGCCTCCCGTATCTAGTAAATAAATCTTATACACAGGTTGGCCTTTTGCGATTTCGGAGATGACTTGAATGTTGAATAAACACAGGATACAGTACCTGGAAAGCATGACGATCTCTTTCACTGCGAGGGTCTGGATTGGGTTGACTTCCCCGAGTGTGGTCGAGTAAGAGCGAGGGCAGGAGCAGTGACGGAGGTGGAGACGAGAGGTGGACAGGGGGAGGCGCTCTCATCGCTGTCCTCACTGTCTGAGGAGGGCGGTTCGAGGCCGGATCGCAGGGTCACCTGAACATCGCGGTTGAGACTAATAGCAGGGTAGTATACACCTGTGGGGAGGCCAGTGAATGCGATTGGACCGTGTGGCTCGTCGTCAAGGTAGTAGGCCAGACTGCCGCGTTCGCAGTCCAGTCGTACACCGATTACACTGCCCACATTGATGCCACCGTCAGTGCGCTCGAAGTGCTCTCCATTGTGGAGGAACCAGCTCCGCTTTTGATCGATGTACATCGCCCAGGCCCGCGCGTCGTGACCTATAGAGGGACAGGCATGTCAAGCACCAATCTAACGAATCTGCGGGAAGTTTTTACAAAGAGGAAGGGAGTAAGCGTCTACAGCAAAAAAATAGTCCTTTAATAGGTAATATTCTTCTTTTGTTCTGTTGGTGAGTTCCTTTAAACTAAGTTGCTTTTTGCTAAGGGAAAACAAGCGTAACTTAATAAGTAGCATAAATATTTGCAATGCATTTACTGACCGCGCTCTGGAAATTCTTCTGCTCCGACTTGCTGGAGGAGGCAAGCTGGAGGGATTTAATGCTTTGTTTAACTTTATGTATAATTAAGCGGGAGCTTAAGTCTCTGCAGGCTGAACTTCCTTTCGAAAACGTGGCCATGCCTATACTCTCTTTCGCTCCCTAGACCTAAAAGTCTTGCTCTGAAGTGCCTTTAAACATTTATTACCGCCTAAGTTGTTTGTTTAACTCTCGGGTTCGGTAATGAGCTACTTAGGGCTCCGCCACTTTACCTTCACCAGGCAGCCTGACCTCCGGATCACGCCAGTAGACCCAAAGCCCTTTTGTGCGTCAACAGTGCATTATTCTGCTCGAGTATTATGTCTCCTATCGTCTTTGGGGGAGTTGCGGGGCGCTACACACTTTATCGTTCAAATAACATGAGGGTCTTACTAATGATGTACATTTCGATGACCATCTAGACTGAGGAATGGAGATCAATTTCCAGCCTTCTATATTCCACCAAGAGCGGGAGGCCATCCAACCCACTGTACCAGCAATTAAGTCCACAAAAGAATGTTATAAGTTACAATCACAGGATACTGGCAAGGCTCGCTACGTCACTCCTAAGTGAAGGTACGGGAGAACAGTTGACGGATCAGCACCTCAACGTCGGCCTATGTCTTCGATAAGACTGTCACCTAATTAACCGCACTTACCTATAACTAGTGTCCTGACGTAGAAAAATTTGTGAGTTCTTGAAAAAACGAGACAAAAAGCATGATTAACATAAAAAGACAACTAAAGACAAGGTCGTCAGGTTTTTTGCCACAGAATCAACTATGCCACACCCTTCTAACTCTTTTTTTTTGGGACAATTTAGCCTACGGTTTAAAAAGAAATGCACTACGATGTAGGGGCGATGACTCAAGACACCTTCAGCTGGAGAGGTTCAAAATCCTTCAAAGGGGACTCGGTTGGGTGATGGGGAAGGAGGGGAGGGGTGGGGGGAGACCACACGATCTACTATGGTGAAACCCATCGGACTTTCCATTGTAGCAACTCCGTTATTTAGGTTAAGCGAAAGTAAAATGAACTGCGGACTTGCTCGCAATCGTTTTAAAGGCCCTTCCAGCCACAGGCGTAAGATGTGACGATGAAATTCGCCTCACTTTGGATGGAGCCAAAACCTTTTCAAGGGAACACCGTCGGGGAGAGGAGAGGAACACAATCAACTCTAGCAAACACCATATGACGTCTTAATTTGACAGACTAACCAAAGGCGAATAAACTACAAACTTTATCCAAGACCACTCTTAGCCAAACGTATTGCTCCTCCTTCGAATTTGGACCGTTCTATGGAGGTCAGAGGGGCCAAGGGCAGCTTGGTCAGGAGGATCCAAGAGCCAATTAATGCAGATTAGACTACGGAAAGCAGTGTCGGGAAGTGCGTTACTTCTTTCCTTGCCAGACTCAGAGAACGTTTGTCACATTGTCTCCTCTGTCCTCCAAATTTTCACCTCATTTAGCTCTGATATGTACAAACAGCTTGTTTAAAGTCATCCATCATCCGCGTTAGGCCCTAAACGTTACACTTTTCAAGTGACAATTATTTATCGGTTGTTGTCTTTTTTCGATGGGGCAAAAATCCACCCACAAAACCTGGAGAGAGTTTCTTCTCGTTCTTGATGACAGTGCATTATTCACGCCAGCCTGGCGCTTCCTTTTTTAATTAATGTCCCTTAAAAATTGCTTTTAGGAGTAAAAAGAATTACTAGGTTATAAAAAGCTACAAGGTAGGATAAGTGGAAAACGCGAAAAAAAGTTTAACTCCTTCTGAGAAATGAGAAAAAAGTCCTCGGTGAGACAGTAGGCGGGGTACAATTCAGCTCCCATAGCTGTGACTTCGGAGGGTGAATTTTAGGCAGGTAAAAACCACATGCATTCTACCTTAGCAGAAATGCTTTTTAAGGAGGGAGTAGGCCAGGATAATTACTGATGGTGTCGCTTTTTCCTTCCAATTCTATTTGTTTTGAGTCCGAACCCAGATGAAGCAAGCCTCAGCTAGCACTCTCTCTCTTTAACTCTTTAACTCCTTGGCTCCAGTTTCTTTTTTCCCACCTCTAATGAATGGAGCTGATTCAAAAATCCTTCATAGTCAGTAACACATTAGCTTTGTTTGGGCATTTAGCACAATTTGTTGGTAAGAGTATTCAAACAGACTGCTACCCTCAGCGATTGTATCCACACGCCTGTGTCATTTCCCCATGGACACAAAAAAATGTACCGTTCTGTGGAAGTGACATATTCATTGTTCCAGTAGTAGCAACCGAATACGCTTAAAATTCCCTTTCCATGGTCTTTGCGGTGAATCATGCCGCAGGTCTCTGCGCCCCCACCCCCCTTCGCCCCGACAACGTGACTGCAAACACTTTGAAGGCACCGTAAAAAGTCGTCACTTTTTCTCCTTGGTAGGGACGATGTTAAAAACGCTCATGTTTGAACAGTGAGTCAAATAATAAATACTGTCAAACATTACTTGACTCACGGAGTCTATATTGAGCTGACGCATACCCTCTCACCATCGCCTTCTCACAGCCATGGCTCGACGAGCATTTACTCTCTCAATCAGGCTTACCTCTCAGACTTTAATAGCCATCCCATCAACCGGAAAAAGGTCCAGACAGGTACGTACTTTGGAGGGGAAAAATGGATGTGGAGGTGTGGTGCCTTGGAGAAAGGGAAATGGGCTATTTTCTCGTCAACATCCTGGTCAAAGAGCATTTTCCACCCAAAAAAATGTTGCCTCGAATGCCAGCTAATTGCCTAAAGCATTTGGAAATATTGTCCGCTTTGCGCCGGGGGCGGGGGGTAATCTGTAGACCCCAACACATTACCTCTTCACCAGCGTGTAAACTTTGAAGGGTAGGGGGGAGGGGCAGGAAATGGGCCTGATGCTTCACCTCTGCCATTTGAGTGTCAGAGATGATTGGCAATTCCGGTTGCAGGTTGATTTGTGTGGGCATCACCTTATTCCCGTTGTGTTCCAGTGTACTGTCTCACAGCCTTAAAAGCACAAAGAGCAATAAAACGGCAATTCAGGTACTTCAGAGCCTGGTTTCGGGGGCTTTCCTACGGTTTCAACAAACGGTGAGGACAGAATATATCGCAGACAGAAAGTTAGTACATTACTTGGGCGTCGGTTATCGGACGAAGTTTGCTTTGTGGTTCTAACGGAGAAATCCTATCCTCGATCGTGAATGATCTACCAAATGACCTTTCCGCCTAATATTCCAGGGCTAGTTCCATGTACATGGTTTCATTTATGCAAGGTCTTCTAGATGGCAAACAGACTAATAAATTCGTCTCTGGTGAGCACTGACTATGACATCATTTGTTCACTAAAGGTGATATATCTCAACCAAGGAGGAGGAAGAAAAGGAGAGGCATCTAAAAGCCCACGGGCCAGAGGGACAAAAAGCTCGAGTAAAAAAATGGGCGAAGTGGGCTGAAGGAGAGGTCAATTGCTTCAAGAGGAGGTCATAAAAAGAGAAATCGTTTAAGCATAAAATGTCTCTTTCCTAGCGAAAAATTACCGTGAAGGGGCAATGAAGACGATCTTATGTAATGAACTACCTACCTCTAGGGATCAATGTAACCGGAATTACACAACAGAAAATGATGAAATTCTACTCGTTGAAAAAAGAAATAGAGGGTCTGTCTCAGCGGAACCTCCACTACCTCAGTCACTTTTAAAGTAACACCACAGATATATTGCAATTATTTAAGCTTTTTAAACTTCATCAATCAGTTGACGACACGATTTGACCTAGCCAGTCTTTTGTGAAGCCAAAAATAAGCAAAAAAGTCGGTGCGTCACATATATGTGACTCTGGTATGGAACGTATTAAACACCCGGAATTTTTTAACTTCTACTGTAGGCAAAACCGCTAAAAATCATTCAAAGTGCGACCGCTGGTACACGGCTTATCATAAAGAGTTGGCTTATTCCTCCACCTAACCACGCGATGCCAATAAGGTCGGGGGTGAGGGAGGGAGGGGCATGACAGTCGACACCGTGGGATTATAAACATATATGCGTGACACCGTGGAGAATGATAGTGGACGATGCTTATTCCCTCTACCTCACTCGCTCTCGCTCTCTCAGGCCAACGTTTAGTCACACTTTCCGCAGAACGAAGGTGGAATTAAAATTAATGCTCGACTTACTTTATGCATGGACGCTGAGTCAACGTCATAACAACCCACCATCTCGAAAGCGACAATGGACGCTTTTTAAGTTTTACAGTAAAATCCTCCAAGAGGGTAAAAGGGCTACCCTTTTTTGTGCAGCTGGGGATAAAATAACGGGAAAATTAATATGAAATGTCTAATATCGTTGACCTTTACTACCTTCGTGTGAGATTTGAGTGTTTCAAAGCCGGAAATAGATTCTTAAAATAAGTTGGAAATTTTCTAGAAAAACAGACACAGAACATGATAATTGAAGACTACTTTGTAGGCACAATAAAATACGAGGTCTGTAATACTTGTACACAAGCGTCACCACAAGCCCGTTTTGGACAGGAGGCAACTCTCTGGCTTTGCATATGAATTTACAAGGGAGAAGGCACTAAACTCCTGTCTTGGGAAATGAAATGTTTACTTTTCTTATCAAATAGTTGTTTAAATGGTAAATTGAAGTAGGATTTGTGGTGTTGATCCAAATGACTAACCGTGATGTTCGTAGGCAAATCGAGCTATCACTTTTGTCTTGACAATGTGATTGACAATCACCTTGTCATTTAAAGGTCTTACTGACTAAAAAAAACAAATCAAGGTAGAGATTGGTGAATTTAATCACGGAGAAAGTGGACCACTACAACCACAACTGTCACATCAATGCCTACGCCACCGGGACGACCAATTCACTTCATGCTTGAAAAGTAACTTAGCCCTCGCACCAAGAAGGTTTAGCGCCTACTTTGCTAGTGTAAACTCAAACAATCATTTTGCGAGACGATTTGGTACAGTCAGTTATCATAAACTGACAAGGCACACATTTCACACACTTGTGACACCGAATTAAGTTAGGAGAATCTATGCGTCACATATGCGTGACACTAGTGGCGAACACGTGAAGTAACGTCAACATTTATTCCAAAAGACCTCAAATCTTTCCTATATTTAACAAAATAAAAATTCCCTTTTATTTAAGGGGAATAATGTCCTAAAAGCCTATTTTGCATTATTTTCTAGCCCGACTCTCCCAGGAATGGATGTTAAAAAGTGCCCACATTAGGGTGGTCCATTTAACAAAAGCCAGACTGCTGGAATAACAGAAGCAAAAAAACTAGCTTGAGATGACCATCATTAAGACAAGCCCATCTTGCGCACTACCCGCCCTCTTTTTCGGCAGACGCCTGGTAGACAAAAAGCCATGTTCCAGAAACTCTCTCCTCTAATGGTATGTCTCGCATCGCCCAAATCCGTCCAATCGCGGACACCTGATCTTATGATAGTCTGGGGAAGGCATAAGTGAAGGTGTGTAAAGCATCTCTTTCTACATAAAACACACTGCAGTGTTCCGGTCAAAAGTTCTGTGTCAAAATAGCTTGACAACGTATTCGCCTTAATCAAGCAGCACTTGAAACAGGAGGGGGACAATTAATCACGGATAGGGGTATCTTTATGAGTCCCGTGGATCGCTTTAAAAGGTAGATCTCCAGTGCTTTTTAATATCCACCGTGGAGTAGGAGGGAAGGCGGTGTGATCAATTTTGCTCTTTGAAGCGTATTCCAAGCCAAATGATTTGCAATTTTTTCCCCCTACATATAAATAACAACACCAACGAGATGCAGGATGGAGATGGGTACAAGCCTTTGTGCCCCCTTTGGTAGAGAATTCCCACAAATTTTCTGCACCTCCGACACCGCATTAAAGTAAGGAAGTAAAACGAATAGAGTGATGCTTTAAAAAGACGAGATAGAGATGCGATGTCACTGGCTCCAGTTGGCCATCTAGTCGGGTAGAGAATGGACCTCGGGGCTGCGAAGTGGACGGGCCGCGTAAACTAGTCTCCATTTATCAATCATTAGCTGCTTTTTTTGGGAATATACAATTATCAAACTAAATTATGGGAGAAAGGGCACCTCCAAAGTGGACGCTTGGATGCTTCTCCTTTCCATTCTAGCCTACCCTTATTTTATTGGTAGTCGGAAGCAAAAAAAGGTGCAGATTTGGTGCCATTTAAAGGTTAAATTCTAAGCAGATTTCATCTCTTAAAAGAAGAAATAAGGCCTCCACTATTTTACCTCACTCTTTTACAAGCAGTTGGATGCCTGGCGAACAGAAGGTGGCAAGCAGTGCGGCTCAACTGAAGGCCCTGATGTTATGCTAAATGATTTCCTTTGGGATGTTGTGAAAAATGGCTGGTGGAGAGTGACTCAGCAAAGAATTTATATTGTTACATATAGGGTGTAAAAAGTCGGTAGATCCGTGGGCTAAGTGGAGGCCCTTTTTGCATTCCCGGTGATCATCACACCCTTGGTACACACAAATGACTTGCTTGGGAGGAGGATTTTTTCCCCTAACACTAGCACCTCCTTGCAAACACAGATGGAAACATTTAAGTGCTCTTTAGTGAGGTTTGTTGCGCAACTTTCCACTCTATCAGGCATTAATACTGTCTCCAAGAGTACTTTTGAGGTAGCCTTGTTAAATATTTGGAGTTTCCGGACCTCCCTGCGATTGTTGATACCCTATAGGCCTCGTACAAATGGGCCATACTGGCGCTGTATAAAAGTAATAATAGGGCAGCGGATGGGAATATAAAAAGGAAGGTAGGGAGTCCATACTAGGCAATTGATAACAGCTACCTAACTGAAAAGGAAAATATGTCAATATTAGACAATTCAGGGGTTTTAGTTGGTTAGAAAAGAAATGAAACAGCTGGTGCAAGAGCGAATAATTTAAGTGATGGTTCAGTTGGTTGATTAGGCAGTAAAATTTGGAGGAGGTTTTGCCGAAGATGAGGAATCCCGAGGACAAGGAGTGAATAAAACAAGGAAGAAGGTTCATTTGAATTTGCAACTGTATAATGCTTGGGACAGTAATTCGGTGGAAATTGTGCGGACTAGCAAAATACATTCCATTATTTGCGTGTGTTTTGTTGCATTATTTACAGCTTTCTCCTCTCATTTGGAACCTTCCTATTGTCAATTGTTGGTTAAACCTGGTGCATGTGATTCGAGCC